AATAACGATAATAAAGCGTGCCAGCGGAAAAGAGCGGCGTCCATTAGTTACGTTGGGAGAGATCTCGACGAGGAGCGAACCTGCTCCAGATAGTCTGCACCGGGCTGGCTCCGCTCTGCACCGTCATCGTCGTTCGTCCCGATACAAAGACAACGCCGCCGCGAGCGGGACGGCCGGTAGAAAAAGTGGCTATGCTAAATAATAGTCCTCCCGTCGGTTCGTTGCTCGCCTCTCCTCGCATAGTTCATTCATGAATCCGGATTCAGTGTTCCTTTACCGGCGACCAGACCAGCCACCGCATCGCCCGTCTCCGACGTGGTATCGACCTAACCGACGAAAAACGCCACGCGGAGAAGAAATTCTCGTCTAAACCATCGCGCGTCCCCCTTATGCCGTTTCGATATCGACCACTCGCTGCTCCAAAAATTCCCTCTCCGCCTCCTTCGTTTCGCGTCTATCCTGCGTCGCGGATACCGTGGACCCCTCCGCGCGTTCCCCAGGCCCCCGAATTTGCGTAGGACACCGAGAATCCTCCAGTTACTCTACGCTCCTCGGTCCCTTCCGGAGAGTCTTTCGGCCTGGACACGTTCTCTCTCCCTTTGGGTACATCAGGTAGCCCCGGATACGCTTCTGACGGTTAGATGACGAAGGTGAAGGCGAATATCGGGCCTGTTAGCCGAGATCCCGCGGATAAGGCGAACTCGGACGTTTCTCATTTCCGCACGGGTGTTAACGAGAGGCTGACTCCCGGTCTCGCCAATCTCCCTCTGTCCCCCGAGTGGCTTCGAGTCTACTCGGATCAGCGGTCGACAATATCGAGTGGGAGGAAGCAAATAGGATTTTCGCGACGACCTCTGACAACGAGGCTTCGTCCAAGATCGCGAACGAGGAAGCGTGGACGCGATTCACGGACGGCGAGCGACGCGACGCGCCAGCATGGAGACCAGTCGAACCCGGTCGAGTCGATCCCGGAATAGTCAAAGGACTCGCGAGACGTTCCCTGGACGACGCGACGACCGCGTTTTTCTTGCCCGTCACCTATCAAACGGGTTCGAACCGGGGACCGGGGTCGGTGTGTTAGTCGAGGAAAGAAAGAGTCCGCTAACGGGATAAACGAGCGATCGCCACCGTACAGCACGCATTCCGATAGGTAACGGAGAAAAGCGCGTATATCGTTCCGCGCGGACGTACCGGAGCGCGATCGTACGCAACCGCGGGTATAAAAAATTTCCTGGAAACGATCGTGTAACGCGCATATAAAATTCGAGTAATTTCCACTGGCCAGCCGGGTCCGTGTCTATTCGCGGAACGGACCTTCGTGGAAGCAGTAAAATCCTTGCATCTCTTCGAGGAGAGATGCGTTCGCGTACGCAACGTTTCGATCTTTCTCTCGGTATTTTCTTTCTCTTTTTTTCTTTTCTTTTCTGCGTTATATTTCGGAAGAGAGCAAGATTTCCTTGGTCCTCGTTGCTGGAATCATCGCAAGAATCGAGGAGAACGTAACCGCGTAGACAGTTCGCCGGCGACCGAAAAATTTCACCTTCTACCCCCTACCATCTGGCAGCGCCATTTCCTGCTCCGAGAGTGCCGCCCGTAATCATTATTATTCGCGGCCAAATAGCCGGTGGCTCTCTCTTTCTCGGCACTGATTGGCCTCCCTATCTCGAAAATACCAATTCTCCGGAGCCATACCGGCGCATTAAAGCTCGTTCACCGTGCGCTCGGGGTTAACCGTGTCCGCGTTCGTATTGTTCCACCACGGTGAGCCATGGATTTCGGGAAAAAATTCACCGATCTACCACCGTCGCCGTATATGCGATATATCGCAGCGCAGCTGGCCGATTTCCGCGTGGCAGAAAATGGAAGGAAACGCGGCGTGATTGGTCGGGACAGATTAAAACGTCGGAAGCGACATTCCAACGGTTTCACGCGCCTCACGCCCGCATACAACTTCCGGCAATTACCGGTGGGCGAGGAAGGCGTAAAGGAAGGCGTAAAGGAAGGCGTAAAGGAAGCAGAAGGAGAGGAAGCAAAGGGAGAAAGGAGGGTGGTGGGTGACGTGGTCGCAGGATGCACGGCGAATGCAAAGCACCGGCAAGGTCGCGATTTCGAATGAACCGGGAGAGTCGCTGCTGCTGCTGCTGCTGCTGTTGCTGCTGCTGCTGCCCCGTCACCTTCGCAGGTAGTCGAAAGCGTGGAACGAAGAGGAGGACTGGAGAGGCGACGGACGGAAGGAGAGAAGGAGACGAGCAGGAAGGCAGCGAGCCACCGAGCCGAAGGTGGAAAGGAGAGAAAGGAGAACGGCGAGGAGGAGAGTAAAGGCCCCGGGCGAGGTCACCCACCGCCCCCGCCCTCTCACTCCCCCGCACACCCTGATTACCCGCAGCCGGGGGCGGGACACACTGTAATGAGCATCGAAGAGGTGCTCAACCTCGACTCGTCCGGTTTTTCCCGTTCGAATTCGAGGAAACGAAACGGGACAGCGAGGCCCCGGGGGCCCGTCCCACTTCCGCGGGACAATTCCGTCGCGTTCGTTCCGCTTTATCTCCGCGATTAACCACCGATACGCGTTCCGATCGCGGAAAGAAGGGCGGCGAAGACGGATCGCCGGTGACGCGACCTCGATTCCGAAGGTACCCGCTGAGAAGGTCGCGCCTGGAACCGAGGGGACAAGCGGAATACGAGAGTAGCCCGGCCGGCTGTCGGCGAAGACACCCGGATGATCGAGCGATGTTATTTTAAGTTTTCCGTGGGGGCCCTCCCACGTCTCGTCCTAATCGGCTGTCAACCACCCCCGTGGCTGGGGTCGTAGGCCACCCCGAGGACACGACGACGCGTCGACTACGGCGCGTAGTACGCGCGACGGACAGAGAAAGAGGGAGCCGCCGGAGACCCCCCGCGGACAAGATTCGCCCCTTTTGTACGACGAGATTCTCGCGGAGGAATCATACCCCTCGAGGGGTTGTCGGATTCAAAACGCTTTACACTCTCATAACCGGGACCTGTTGATCCTGCGGCCGAATCGAAAATCGTCCTGCACGCTGCCGCCCCTCGGTTGGCGTGCGCTCGAAAAACCTTCCACCGCGTGCTTCGTCATCCCGCGATTCACTCGCAGTCCACGGGACCTTTGCGCTTAACCTCGAAACGACGTTTTAGTGGCTGATAAATTTCGCGTCGCCTCGTTTCGCCGTTCTCCCAACCACTCCTCTCTCTCTCTCTCTCTCTCTCTCTCTCTCGGTATGTTAACGTCTCCTTACTCGCCACTGAGACTCCTACATCTCCCGATGATTTCGTAAACGCGTTTTAATCGACTCCTCGGGACGGAGCTCGCGCGCGTCTCGTCGGCGGATTGTATCAGCGATTAGGCTTTAATTGGGGTTTAATCGTGATTCGCGAAAATTGGATATCAAAGTTGCGGTAACGGCTGGCGAAATTTGTTACATTAGCATGGCGACCCGTCCGTTTACGATGAAGCAGATAAGACGCGAGTAAAAGCCTATCGACCTATAAATACCCCGCGAGGACCCGGTCGGAACCGGGAGGAATAAAGCGCGTAATAAAAATTATAGCCGCGAGCCGCGATACCGGTGGAAGAAGTAGGCGGCTGACTGCTGAAATTCCAGCAGAGTCCTCGAACTCGGAATAGACCGTGAAGATGAAGTCGCTCCAGGAAAGTTAGGATGACCTCGCAGGGTCCTGCGGCTCGTTTGATGGACCTCTCCCCTCTTTTTCTTCCTCTTTTTCCCCTCTCTCCTCCATTCCCTCTCCCATTCTCTCCTCCATTCTCTCTTCCATGCCCTCTTCCGTGCCCTCTTCCATTCCCTCTCGCACTCCCCCGGCCCGCCGCCCCGCGTGTCCCGTGGCGTCCGTGCATTTCCACCGGATACCCGTTTACACCGAGTCGAGTTTGGTGGCACATATTATATACCTGCGGAAAGGAGGCAGAACGGGACGAAACCGAGGGAGGAGGCTGAAAAAGAAGAGGAGAAGGTGGCGGACGAAGAAGGAGAGGAAGAAGAAGAAGAAGAAGAAGAAAAGAGAGACGGCTTTCTCGTCTGCAGCGTGCTTATTGCGTGATATTAGCCACGGTGGCTGCCGGGGTAATCATAATCTCGAAAGAGGGACAAAACACAGGCCCCGAATCGCATAACGCTGAATTTTACGACTTCTGGCATAGAGGACAGGAGACCGGATGCAACGCGACTTTTTACCTCCCTCTAACGTCGCCGGCTTGATGTCAACAAGAAGGTGGCGTACCTCTCGGAAACTAACACCCCGTACGATCCTTAGCCCAAGAAGAAGAAGAAGAAGAAGAAGAAGAAGAAGAAGAGGAACAAGAAGAGGAGGAAGAAGAAGAAGAAGAAGAAGAAGCTACTGCCTCGAGTCGAATCGGAGGACGCGAGGTTGAAAACACGACGAAGAGTAAAAATTCGCCTCCATTTTCTTTTCGCGAACCACGTCCGATATCTCTCTTCTCCGAAATTATTCTATCGACGTCGAGTCGTATCGATGGTGTTACGCTTTCCGTGAAAACCGCGAATCCGAGGGGGTCGCCGAGCACGGGGGCACTGGAAAGCGACAGGACGTAAAACGAATTGTCCAGCTGGTCGGACTTTCTATCCGAAACGGTCGTTCCGGGAATCCGATCTAATTTACGCGTTTGCATAAACCACGCGGCGGTTTCCAGGTAATAAAGAGAAAGAGGGAAACCGCGGCGAAGGTGGGAGGAGGCTGGAGGCGTTGCATCGTGGCCGCGCAGGTTTCGCAATAGCCGTATGAAACGGTTGCTCTCTTATTCGCTGCTCAATGGAAACGTAATAGGAAGGAGCGATATTCACCCTTTTTCTTCTTTTCCTTTTTTCCCGCCGCGGAAGACACCGCGTAAAAGTTGTTCCGCGATCGTTCTTTCATTTTCCTCTGCCCCCCTCGCCGTGCCCCGTACGGCGAGAAACGCGTAGCCACTCTGTTGCAATTTCTACGAGAGATCGTGAGTCACTCACCGTAAGGTCGATCCGCAACCGGCTGCTCGCACGAGTCTGCAACAGCAAAGCAAAACCAAAAGTTTGATCAGAGGAATGCCACGGGAATGTTCTTCCTGCGGCGTGCGCCGAATTCTTAGCTCGGTCTATCGCGAGCGATTAAACAACGCGAAATTCTCCACGAATAATCGGCCGAGGAACCCGGAGCAGCTCCACGTTCCTACCATCGGTCCCTCGCAGTCGGTACCCCGTTCGCATTCTTGCCCCCGAGCTATCATTACGCAGGCATACGTATCGTTTATTCGCGACAATTTGAAAACCATCGCGGTGCGACCCGGTAATAACTTCGCGGCAATCGCCGGACGATCGAGAAGCGACACTCGCGCGAGACCATTATCCGCTTCGATTTGCATACGCGCGTTGCCGCGATTAGGCCGTTCCAGGCATCGTTCCGCGATAATAAAGGCCTTCGACCGCGCGTTCCTCCGCGTTCTCTCGGCTGAGTAATTTCCGACGGTGGATCACTCGCGATTTTCGCCTCGACGATCGCTCGTCGAGGCATTTCGTGGATCGCGATGTCTCGATCGCGATGTCTTCATCGGATCTACCTCGTCGGGACGGGCCTCGAGCGGTAGAAATATCTTCGGATGTCTCGCAAAGTTCACTCTATATTCGATCGAGAGCCGAGCGAAGGAATGGTTACGATCGAGGAAACAATGTGGCGTACGAGCGTTTTAATGCCTCGGAGACTCGTGAAATATTCAGCGGTTCGCGGAATCGGGAGCGAGCCGATTTAATTGCGAATCCGGAATCGCGGAGACGTATGCCTCCGTTTCCTGCACGAGAAACTACGCGCGAGATTTAACGACGCGACAGATGCTAGGCCGGCGAGATCGGCCTAGCCTGTAGCTTGTAAATGTCTCACTCAAGGCGATCGCGAGGTTCTAATAGAGGCCGCTAGGTAGGTCATCGGATGTCATAAACGCTCGACGAAGTTTCTTCGGCGGTGCAGCGCGTGTTAATAGCCTCATTAGATACCGCGGCGTATACGACCGGTCGTGGATCACCCACCGAAACGCGCGTGAGCTTGACGAGGAAAATAATCGATATAACTCTGGCAGGGAATTTCGTGAACCGAGACCTTTTTTCAAAAGTTACCAGACGCGCCTGTTTGCGACTAGTCGACGTGTTTTGCTTCGGGACCATTCGCGTCTAGGCATCTGACCTGTCTTTCGACTAGCGAGGACGTCGTAGGAGACAGCGGTAAGTGGAGGTAGTGACGTTGCAAATTTTGAACTGGGAAGGTTGGTGGATTTTCCACAGAGGGTTCGGTCGAATCTGGAAACTTGGAAGGGAGCAGCGCGACCAGTCATCCGCGTAAGGGATGTATAATAATGGACACGGACAGGGTCGTCCGGCTGTCAGCGCGATCGAAAGTTTAGATTAGGTTCGACGGGACAAAACATTCCGCATCTGGTATTCCGTCGGACCTGTCGTCGATGGCACAACGACATCGGGCAGGACGAGAGCGATCGTGAATACCATTCGGACGAAGCATTATATTTCGTCGGTATCGTCACCTTCCTCCCCGACGACTCGTTTCCTTCCACGAACCAGGTACAACGTAGACACTGTCATTGACAGAATCTTGCCTACATTTACGCGCATCTCTCGCGTGAATCGCGCGACGCTCGTTGCAGCGGAGGCTGACGACGAGCGAAAAGTGGAGGAAAACGGAGGAAAAGCGAATTTTCCGAAAGGACGAGTTCATCGTCCCCTGTGGAAAGCGAAAAGCAGCGGCACGCCTCGCGCGACATTCGGCTCGGCTGGCCGGTAATCGCGCGCAGGCCACTGGCGGCGTTGTATTCTAATATTTCCCGCGAACCGCGACGCGCCATCACGAATTCTAATTCGCCGGTCGGTCGTCCTGGGCCCTGGAGGTGCCAACGGGGTCGCACGCGATAGTCGATAAATATTAAACGACTTTCCACCTGCCGTCGTGGCCGCGGCTCGCTTCGCCTCTTTCGACAGCGGCTCGTGAGCCACGCGGGGCGCGGAGCGGAGGGGCCGAGAGGGGCACTTCCGAGAGGGAGATGACTGAATGTTAATTAGCGAGGCGTGACAAGTGTTAAGCAATCCATCCATCTAGCCGCGTGCAAAGAGGGAGGAGCCTGGCCTAACGCTCGGTAATTAACGCGACACCGCGCCGCAAGCCACGCATCATCGAACCAGCCTTATCCTCTTCCTCCTCCGCCTCGGCAATTAGTCGTCGATTTACCCGTCGATTTGCCCGACGCTTTGGCCGTCGCTCTGGCCGACGATTTGGCCGATTCGAACGCGTGGATTTAGTCGTTAACCCCGGCTCGAAAGTGAAACGGAATTTTGAACGCGCCTGACCCCCGACACGCGTCCCCGGAAGTCGCGTGGCTTCGCTTTCGCGGGACGTAACTGTATTTTCGAGCGATCCATCACCTGGCGTCGCCGCGTTTGAAAACGTTCCAACGAGTTCGACGATTCCTCATCGACTCCTCTTACTTTCCACTCGGCTTCGTCCCGCAGGCTCGGCGAGGACCCGCGCGCGTCGATGCTCGAACGCGCGGATACCGCGTTAATAACCGGCCAGGCTAATCGCGTTCCGCTATTCGAAATAATCCCGTCAAGAGGAGTAACGCGTCTTCCGACACCCGATTAGCGTAACAAACACAATGACAGCGGGGCAACTCGTAACGAAGGATGATGTACGATACCCTCGATTCAATATACCGCCTCTCCAGCATCTTCCGCTGCCGCTGCTGCCGCTCGTTTTCGAGAGAACGATGATCGGCGAGGGAGCGGAGGAGAAAAGGAACGCCGCTCGATACGTGTCAAAAGCTAGATTCAAATCCTGTCGGGGCCTCAGAATGCCGGACGACGGGCGGTCGTGGCGGCGAATCGCGGCGAACCCGGCGATCTCCTCTCTCTCCGATAGATGTATCAGTGTAATTAACAACAAACAATGGCCGTGGGACGCGCGCGCTCGATATCGTATATTAATCGATTAGCCAGCACCGTCCGGGCCCCGAAGATATGCGCCGGGACTGGTTGTTAATCATCGGAGCGCGGGTGCGTTTGTACTTCGAGCCTTCTTTTTCAGCCGTGAGAGAAAGAAGAGGAAGAGGAGAAAGGCGAGGGCGAAGAAGACGAAGGAAAAGACGAAGAGGGAAGATGCGATCCAAGTCGCCGAGTATACCATTCGCCTTAAGGATCCTCGAGTCGGGACTAACCACCTTTGCGACGCGTCGCTTCGCCGCGCGTATCAGGGCCACCGTGACTACGAAACTCGCAGGCCCCGTGTAGCGTCGGCTGTCCTCGCCGATCGCGTTTCCATTCATTTTTTCCCCGCCGATTCTACGCTTTGTTCCCGACTGGCACGCTCGTAAAATCCCAGCCTTTTTTCCCCGCCCCGTTTCGAGCCACCGCTCTGTTCCCCGAGCAATCGTTCGTAGTTGCAATTTCAACGGGGCCCGAGCGAACGAGACCGCGACGAGGTACGCGTAGATCGCGATCGAGCGCGTGCTCCGTTTCGACGGATCGCGTTTCCAGCCTCTGAAAGATCCGCCGAGGATAGACGCGGAGGATCGTGGACGAGGGCGTGTGCCCTGTGTCTAGGCCGCGAGGGGGGCCCGCGTGAAGAAAGTGTAACGGTGCGGCAAGTGGAGCGTCATTCGGATCGGAGATGGAAAGTGTATCGATGACTCAACGATTCGGCCGGTAATAACCGTTCTATTAATCCGTTTACCGAGCGTTTGTTCCTATTCCTGAAAGATCCACCGGGGCTGTCTGCGTTCGATCTCGTGCCCCTCAGCGGTGCCGGGGCAAGATTGCGATCATTAGGGATTATCGATGACCGTCAATGCGAAACAGCTCGCGAACCGTCATCAATTAGAGTTAAATAATAGTTCGCGTTGTCCATTCGTTAGCTCGCTCGTCGGCCCCGCTTCCGGGATCTTACTTCCATCTACCAGTCCTATCCGCCTTGATTCATTATCGGGACGACACGTCGAGTAGAACCGCGAGGGAAAAAAGGGAGGGAGAAAGAAAAAGAGAAACCTATTCAGTTTCGTAATTTCGTACAGAACAATCTTCAACGATCACGTTCATCCGACGTCTAATTCTACGGTAACCGTAATTACCGCTCTCTCGGAATCACACAAACCGCACACGTTGTTAAGTATAAATAAGTTTAGGCCAGCTTCATCACGCGGACGTGACTTTCTTGCCATTTTTCAGATTAACATTTCAATACGCGTTTCGAGTCACCCCGTTTGCTTTCGTTTATTACCGAACAGTTTCCCAATTCTTCTATCCTAGAAGCGTAGCAAACTCGCGCGTCCTCGATCCTGCGTCAGTCGCGACTCCAACTGCACCGTTACCCTGGATCGTTCCTAAACCGGGTGAAGCGTTGCCCCGTCGATTAACGTCTAGGCACCAACCGGCTGCGAGAAATCGGTACAGTCTCGTCGCGAGGATACCGGTTCGCGATAGATCGTACTCGAGATTGACGCGAGATCGAATTAGCATTGCGATTATGCAAACTATATAATCGGACGAGTCGCTACGCTAAGACTTACGACCGAACAGTCACGCTTAGCTCTCGGTCGTCTGGTCGATTCGTCGGCGTGGAATCCTCGAATCACCGGGAACGTATGCAAACAAAAGATCCCCGTCGGTGGGCCGCTTGTGGATTGCAGCGCACACACGCGTACACCATTTTGTAACGAGGCGCGCAGAAAGAGCCGGCGGAAGGCTCGACTGATCCTCGTAAAAGCGACGCTGCCTCGCGCGGTTTCTTACGCACACATCGTTCGCCATTCACGGCCCCGTAAATTAGCGCGTATCCCACGACCGTCAACGAACCGTGGCCGCGCGTTCGCGCCGGATAACAAACATTCGCTGACTAATCGATCGGCAGACACGTATCGGGAACGAGCCGCTAAGCGCAGCGTGTTGTTATACGCGACGAGGACTCGGGCCCGGTGTCGCGGACGATTCCGTGTTTACCCGCGAGGATCGGTGGA